CTTAGTAATGTTTTTCTAATTCATTATTTGTAATAGGAAATAAATAAAAAATAACACAGAAAATAAACGTTAATAGTAAACTTCTGTTAGTTAAATAATTATGTAACAAAACTTAACCGATTATTAATTACAGTTATTGGAATTAATAATTATAATTTTAATATTATCGATATAATACTTGGGCTGTAATAATTAAAAGAAAAAATACTTCAATATTTACATTAGAAGGTTTACACAATTGTTAATGACTCAAGTGTTTTAAAATGTCATCATCAATGTATTCAATTTTTTCGAAATATTTTATGGTTGACTTGCAATTTAAATTATTACTTGCAATACTCAAATTTATTACTTGCAAACTCCGAAATTTTTTTCCTCAGTGTAAGAAATTTTATATTCAAATATTTAAGTTTTTAATATTTAAGCAGACAAGTGAAAATTAATCGCGAAAACAAACTAAACTAAAATTTTGTAACACAATTTAGTAAAAATGTTTTTTTATTTTTAAAAAATTTCGAAACAATTTAAGCAGTCTACTCACTCAAAAATCGATGATGAACGCTACTCATTGATTCGCGAACTGATATCTATACTACTCTAAAGAAAATTGTGCTGTGCAGTTGTGTACTTCTGAAAAAATTCCAACCGCGTTTTTCCGCGGCGCTGGTGGTATACATAAACACGTTTTATATTGACAAATATCGCAGATAGCTTAACTGGGAGAACTCTTGACGTGTAACTAAAACATCCCAGTTCGATTCCCCGTTCAAGCCGTCCGAATTATTATTTCCCTTTATCCTTTCTTCTCCCCCATTTCCAAATATATATCGTTCAATAACTAATTGGCTATTAATATACCACTAGTGTTTTTTTGTGTTTTATAAAAAACTTACTTGTTACAAAAATAGAAATATAAAAAAGACACTTAGAAATGTTTCAAAAAATTTTTTGTGCTTTTCCAAATTTGTTTTTTTTATCAAGTTTAAAATTACGAGAAAATTTTTAGAAATTAGCTGTAGGATAATTTCAGTCATAGAAGATTAAATGGAAGGAAAAAATTATTTTCTTCGCATTTAATTTAATGTGGAAACCAGTTAAATGTAGTTTTTTCCGTGTGGGCTCTTAATCTATGAAGGAAGTCTACCCAGGAATCCCAGAAGTTTCCAGGATTATTCTCCAAGTTTTTTAATATTCGTCTGCTGTTCCTACTGAGCTAAAGCTTAAATAGTCTAGTTAATTTAAACTGAACTAATTTTGAATTTTAAATCTCAACTTTTATTTTTATTTTATACCTTGCACTAAAAAAAAGAAAAAAAAAAGAGCTAGAATTTCATTGTACATACTATATTTTCTTATTATTAGAAAATTTTTACTACTTTATGTATTTATGTGGCGATCTCTCTTGCTAAAAACATATGTATGTTTAATGCAATAAATAAAATATAAAATATAATTAACTATTTTTTTTAAAACGGTTAATATTTTAAAACATGAACGACAACATTAGTAAAATAAATTAATTTTTTTGTGAAACAAACATAAAAATTTTATGAATAACAGGCGTACATAGTTAGTATCTACACTTCTCACAAAAATTAAGGGAGCAGAAAAAAAATCCAAATTTTCGGGGGATTTTCAACAGGCTGTAACTTATACAAAAATGGTCGTACAGCAAAAAAAAAAAAAAAAGCAAATTGTAGCTCTAAGTGTCTAGTTTTCGGATCAAAGTTTGAAAATTTTTTTTTGAAAATATTTTTCGAGTAATCATAAGAAAACCACCGAAAAAAAAATTTTCGAAATATTTTTGGTTTTTTTTTTAATCTACGGACGTGGAAAAAATTTTTTCGATTTAACCTCCATATGGACCGGATAGCTTGTTTATTCAGCTTGAATTTGATTTTTTAAAAATGTTGATACGAGCATTTCTCGCTGAGATATCGGTGTTTGAATGGAAAAAGATCATTTTTTCTTTGATTACCAATATCTCAGCAACCAAAGATCGCACAGAAATTTTAAGGTTGGTTTCGAAAACTTGAATAAATTCTCTACAAGGATTGGCAATTGAATTTTGAAAAATTAGAAAAACGGTTCACCCTAAAGGCCATCCCTGATGCAACTTCCCGCTCATTTTGTACTTAAACGCTTCATACTACACATTACGTTTTTGAGCTCTTCAGTTCAAAACTCCTAATAGCAGTTTAAAGACACAATTTTTGATTTTCAAACGGAAATAACTTTTGAATGAATGAACCGATTTTCACGCGGTTGGCGGCAATCGACGCAGTTTCTGAAGCTCCATGAAAAATTTTTAAGTTTAAATCGATCGAGCCATGAATTTCGAAGTTATTACAAAAAAACACTTTTTTCAATTTTTTTCGACAACGATATTTCACGAACGCATCAACCGATTCTAACGTTTTTGGTGGCGATCGATGGGGGTTTTCAAGGTTAAGAGCTGATTAGATTTTAAGACCGATCGGTTCAGCCAATTCGGAGATATTTAAAAAAAATGAAAAAAAAACAACTTTTTTTTTTACTTTTTTTTTTCACTTTTTTTGCATTTTCTCGAAATCTACCGGTCCGAATCGGTTCAAATTTTCAGGAAATCTAAGTTTGGGCAAGCCCTTTCGAATGGCGCCCAACCGCGAACAAATCGGTCAAACCGTTCAAAAGTTACAGGAGGTTTACATACACACACACACTTACACACACACATACATACAGACGTACGGACATCATCGTAAAAATAGTCAAGGAAGCTTCCTGTGACCTTCAAACGTCGAGATTTGATGAAATCTCGATTTTTGTAAAACGGGGTGAAAACAATAACTTCCTGATTTTTGAAAATCTGAGATTTTTAGCGGGAAGTTAAAAATTAACTTGAATCAAGTAAATAATTTTGGAGAGCTTCATTTTCTTGATTTGAGTAAAAAAATTCTTAAACTAAAAAATTTTTCTTGATTTAAGTATATTTTACTTGATTCAAGTTATTTTTTTTCAGTGTATAAAATAAATAACAAAATTTTCAAGTATTGCGCATAATAAATCATTTTGTTTTTTTTTAATTTGATTTTTGTGCAGTGGAGTAATAGTTTAAATTATTAATTGATAATTAATTAATCGTGTTTCTTTTGTAATGTAAGTAAGTTTATTTTTTAATTTTGTATTTTTCTCTGTTTGTATGTCTTTTTTTTTACTGTTAGAAGACTTTGTCCTAACGGCCACTCAATAAATATTACATGGATTTATATTATTGTTTTTTTTTTTTTTTTTTTTTAGGAGTTGATTGTTTTTAATCGGCTCTTGAAATTTAGTATAATACTGCTCAGTTCACAATATTTAGTGTTTTTGCTTAAAGCTTCTGTTAATTAAATTTCAAAATTTTATTTATAAAGAAAACTTATTTTTGTGTGGAATCAATGTCATCAAATTGTAAAAATCAAAATTTTTTTTTTTTCAAGAAAAAGTTCAATTTTTATAGAACATTTTAAAAATTTGACAAATTGTTTAGTTTTCAAGCTATAAAAATGATATTCAGAATTTTTTAGAACATTTTCTTTCTTAAAGTTCTTCAAAAGAAAAATACTTAAAAACAAAATATTTCAATATAGTAATTTTTATTAAAAAGAAGTTTTATTGAAAAATTGATAAAATAACAAACTAAAAATAAATAAATTTATCTCATGAAAAGATTTTTGGTTGAAATAAAATCATTGCTAACATTTTTGAGAAATTTTGAAACTCAATAAAAAAATTTATTTTTGCAAATTTTTATTAATTTTATTTATAAAAAAAATTCAGGCAACTGTAAAATTAAACAATTACCCAAATTTATTGCAAAAAATATTCTTCAATTAAAATAATCTTTAAAAAATACAAGAAAATAATTTTTACAGCCTGAAGACTTTAAAAAATATTCGAGAAGTTAAACATTGGCCAGAGTTACTTCAAACATAGCAAGCAGTATAATCGTATTTAATTCTCAAGCATAGAAACTAATTTTCAACGCCCCCGAATTATCTATTCAATCGTTTGATGCATTTATCTTGAAACCCGATTAACATGGTCACAAGTTTTTTCTCAGAAGTCGCGTCTCAAAATCTCTGTTTCCAATTATCTAATCAAAACCAAAAAAAAATTCTTCCTCCGAACAATATAGGGGAAAACTAACAAAATTTCCAAGCACTCTAAATATAATACATGACAGTGAAAATCGATTTTCAGTTGCAACAGATGTCAACAAACTTTTCTACAAATCAATACTCCCCGACTCGTGCATTTCATTCAAAATATCTATGAATTGGAAATACAATATGTGAGTATAGTTTATTTTTGTTGTAAAATCAACAAACTCGGTAGAGTTTGGCGCCAAGTTCCGTTCTCAAGCCATTTTATTTAGACCAATGCGGGTTTATTATTTCCCCTGGAATTATATCTAAATTCATTTTTTTTTTATTTTAATTTTAAGATTTCAATCTTGTGAAAAATTTTTTTGCATTCAGTTTATTTAATTATAAATTTTATCTTTTACTAGTAAGAGTAATTTTAACCTTCAAATTTAACTCACTATGAATGTTATTACGACATTGTATGGAATATAATTTATATTATTATTAATAATAAACCTTGAAAATTTATTATTACGCTAAGTGCATTTTTAAGGAAAAAAGACAATAAAATTGCAATATTAAACAAAAATATCAAATTAAAACCATCAAGTATAAATTATACATCTCAATGATTGCAATTATTCAGTTAAAATTTCTTCTACTAATTTTGAAACTTATAAAAGATTTCTTTTTATAAATGTCAGAACTTAGATTGATTAATAAAGCAAGATAGTATTTTATTATCAACAATATATTATTAAAATTAAATAATTTTCTTACCTAGCGCAACACGTGGTTTTGATAGGGGTATAGTATTGATTTTAGGTTAGTTTTACTACGAGTTGAATATACTCCCATTCTAATATAAGCGCAAAAGTGTTAACAGACATTTTAGAAATGAGTTTGAATCTTAAATCATTGTTAAATTATTATTTAATATATATATATATATAAGCCAAGTTTCATCAAATTCTGAATAGAAATTATAAAACCGGTAGTACTACCTTAAGTTTATTTTCACTGAAATTGAGTATTAATGAGCTGAAGTAGTCAAAATATGGAGCAATGACTGATTTATAATTAGTATTTTTTGTATAACATGACACTGTATTTCTTATTCTATTTATTTTAAGTTATGATGAAACTAAATAGCAAATATTTAATTGAAAAAATTATTAGGATAGTAAGTGGTAACTTTAGAAAGTTATTTTTTGGAACTGAAATCATCATTTGTTTAAAATTTAACTTAAAAAATCAAAAAAGTTTGGAAAATCCAAAAGTGCACGCCTCATAATCTCATTTTTCGTGAAAACTATAGCGCCACTTGATCAAGCTAGATTTTTTTAGACTGCGTGCGCATATGACAATAAAAAAGGGCGCCGATATTTAAAAAAAAAAAATAAAAAATACTCTGTAGGAAATTTCTTAATTATAATTTTTTTTTTTTAATCAATTACACAATTAATCTTATCCGGCGTAGAGAGCTTATACGTTTGCTGGAACGAAATTGCCGTGGACATTGGGTCGTCCTTCGTCAACTTCGGTCTCTACTAGTAGCTTCTACCAAACGCAATTTCACTTTGAACCTTTTGATGATGTTTCACGAGTTTTATGAGATTTACAACCTCATTTACATGTAAATTATTTTTATTGTTTATCATTTTTTCGTTACATTTACATTTAAATTGTTTATAAGAAAACGATACGTGGTTGTTACATAAAGTTTTGAGATTTTTACTTTTACATGATTGATTTTTGTTGAAATTTCACAAAAAAAATGTTTGGAAAATCCAAAAGTGCACGCCTCATAATCTCATTTTTCGTGAAAACTATAGCGCCACTTGATCAAGCCTAGATTTTTTAGACTGCGTGCGCATATGACAATAAAAAGGGCGCCGATATTTAAAAAAAAAATAAAAATACTCTGTAGGAAATTTCTTAATTATAATTTTTTTTTAATCAATTACACAATTAATTTTTTTCTTAAATAATGAATGAGTGTTATAAGGCGTGCACTTTTGGATTTTCCAAACTTTTTTTTATTTATTTAAAAAGCAAAATGTCCTTTAAAAATGTCATAAGTGTTGAAACTAGGGTTTTTCCATGACTTTTGTGTGTAAGTATTGTTCTACAAGTACGATAGAAAATAAATAGAGACAACTTTAGTTCAAGAAATCGCTTGATTTTTGTAAGGCGAGTGTAGAGCACAACCTCATCCGCTTCGCTTATGATATGAGGCGTGCAATAAAATCTATTTTAGCGAATTACTTTTTATAGTTTTGATTTTTCATTGGTAATTTAAATATAACTTTAAGTGAAAACCGAAACTAATCAATTACTTAGAGTTAATTTCGAAAATTAAATACTAATTCTTGAATAGTTCAGTCGGTAGAGCATAATTAATAATTTTTCTAAGAAGATATAATTATATCATTGCTTAGAATTTATTACAGAAAAACAAATACTTAATTATAAAATTTAAATATAAAATCTTGAGTAGTTCAATCGATAGAGCATAGTTTGTAATTTTTCTGATTAGATATAATTGAATGTTAGATCTAAATTTTTCTTCCTAAAGAAAAATTATTGCTAGAGTTTATTATTAAAAAAATAACTATTATTAATGTACAACCAATAATTAAATCCATCACCTTCATTCAAGTTTATAAACTATAATTATTTTTTTAGGATAAACTCTAAGCAATTTTTTCTCCAATTTACAAAATAACACCCAAATTTTTGAGCTAGTTATAAAATTTTTTTTTCTTCCTATGGTGAAGAAATACTTAATCTTAATTGTTTTATTATTTTAAAAAAATAATTAAAAATCATATCAAAATTATGAGTACATAATTTTGAAATAACATAATTATAATCAACAAACATACATCTGAAGAAGATAAATGTAATTTGTTAAAACTATTATCAAATAAATGTTTTGGAGGCAAGTGATAAATACGATTAATATCAATACAAGTAGTAACTTTAAAAGTTAATATTATATATTTAATAATTGTCCTCGATTCGTTATTCGTAACGATAAAGATCATAAGTATGACGACGACAATTAGGGCTAAGTATTATCTGTAGCTTCCCGGAAATGTACCAAAGTGAAAGACTGTTTACACAGTTTAGTTAACCACGCACCAATTTATTATTTGACTTTTCACAAAAGAAGAAATAAATTATTAACAAGTGTAAGACTTATTATAAGTATGTTATGTAAATCTATTGCACTTTTATTTTATTACGCTGAATGGAATAAAAAAAAATTTTAAATCATTTGAACAGGTGATACCATGCAGTCGATTTAATTTAATGTTTATATTTATAGGTCGCCGGGCAGTTGGAGCATAAAAAACTTGTGGTATATATTATAATAATTATAATAACAATATTAATAATTATGATGATAATAATGGGTGTGAAAAATTATATTATGTATTGTAGCTTATAAAATATATATATATATATATANNTATATATATATATATATATATATGACTTACCGGCTCGCCCAAATACGATTCCCAAAGATCCCGCAGGTCACTTCCCATATCGTATATATCCATTATTGTTGTTATTGTTAGTCCCTTTTGTACCTCGTGAATTTTACCCTCCGCGTCGGTGATTTATTGATGACTTTAGAAAATCATTTTTCTGGGAAAGAAAATTTTTGTTATTATTTCTTCCTATGCGCTCTTTAAATTTTCAGTTTTATTATCATTGAATTATTGAAATTTATTTTAAAAATTTCAATAAAGTATAAGATATAATATACATACTGAGATTACGAAATAAATATAAATTTAATAACTAAGTATTAAAAAATCTGTGTATGTGTGTGTTTAATGAGCAAGAATGTGAGAAATATTTATTATCATTGTGAATTTAATCAACGCATCTGTACACGTGATTATGCTCACATATGGTATATTTATAGTATAAGGATTTATATATTGATCATTATTAATGTAATCAGTAAAATTTTATTTTTAGTAATTATCCATTGTTAATTAATTATTAACTTTTTTAAAAATTTTTAATAAAGTTTTTTTTTCTTAATTAGTAATTTTCTTGAAAGTTTGTTATTAAATTATTTAATTATCGGTAAATTATTTTTTCTAATAATTATTAATTGATGGTTATTGAGAAAAAGTTGAGTGAAAAATTCAAATTTTTAATTTGAAATTGTTGAAACCGGTCATACTAAAAATAGCATACAAGCTTCATATTTTTACATGATAATATTTTATAAAATAGAAGTACTTGATAAAATATATATACAGACATATTTTGTTTTTTTTTTTTTTTTTTTTTTTTTTTTGGAAAAAACTGTCTGTTAATTTTGACAATCTGAAAATTAGTAATTATTTTTGGCATGAAAAATTAAGAAATTAGAAAAATTAAAAAAGTTCAATTTTTTTCGATTTTGTTAAAATAATTAAAAAAAAATTTTTTTTTTGAATCCCAAAAATTAAAAATTTTGCTAAGAAAAAAATTCAAGCAAAAATATGCATTTTTTTAAATTTATAAATTTACTCCAAAAAATTATGAATTAATATTTTTAAAATTGCAAAAAAAAAAAATTATTACTCAAATTTTTCTTTCATAAAAAAAAATAAATAACAATATTGTAATTATTAAATAAATAAATCTAATATTTATAAATATGGTCAAGTTTAAAAAAATTTTCCAAAGAAAATCAAAAAATTATTATAAATTAAAAAAAAAAATCAATCCATAAAAAAATTAATACTCCAAAAATTCTCCAAATTTTGTTTGATTCAAAATAAAATTTATCTTCTCAAAAAAATTTTTAAAAACAAATAAAAATATTTTAATTATTAAATAAAAAAAAAAGTAAATAAATAAATCTAATTTTTATAGATATGATTAAGTTTCAAAAAATTTTCTAATTAAAATAAAAAAATGATTTTAAATTTTCTAAAAAATCAATCCATAAAAAAAATTAATGAAAATTAAGTTAACCGACATTTAAAAATTAAAAAATTTTTTTTTATTGAAAAAATGTCTATAAAAAATAAAGAAAAAAAATTTTCATTTGTAAAAAAACTTTTAAAAACTGTAAGTGCAATTTTTTTAAAAATATTTTTTTTTTTCTAATTTAGTTATTAAAAAAAAAATCAAAAAAATTAAAAACGTCGGCTAACTTTAGTACCATAAAAAATTAATGCTCCAAAAATTCTCCAAATTATATGTTGATTAAAAATTAATTTAATCTTCTTAAAAAAATTTTTAAAAACAAAAAAAAATAAATAAATTATTTCCCGCGTCTGAAAAAATTCTACCATATTGAACTTACCTGTGCAGATGTTCGTCCTCAATCCAGGGGGTTCAAAATACCATTTAGCTAACTAAAAAATCACGCTATCCATAAATAGTCATCCGAAAATCCCCTCAAGTCCTTGAAATGAGCAGTTCCAGAAAAACAACAAATGTTTTGTGTAAATAAATAAAAAAAAAAAATAATCAATATCAATATCAGCCAACACCCGCACCGGCACGGGTTCGACACACGGAAAATAAAAAAACCACCAAGTATTTCTATTTACTAAAAAAAAACTTCACTTTAACAGACACTACTTATCACACAAAAATATGTTTGTTTATTTAGTAAATATTTTTATTATTGTTTAATATTTTTTTTTAAATGAATTATGTATTTAATTATTGATATATTATCACGCGCACATGTATCCAGTTATAATAATTTTAATAACAATATTTAAAACAAACACAGTAAACAATACGGAAACAGTAAAATAGCCTCTCAGTAGCGTGGTCCGTTTAAAAATAGAAAGATAGAGACAGAGAGGAAAGAAAGAGGGAGTAGTGGAAACTAACACAGCACGTCGTAGTTCTAAAGCATCTGAAGCACGAATGCCGATTGTAATAACTCGTAATAACAACGGACGACGCATGCACGTGGTATCCCGGCAATACTTTTGAAGTTACGGAATCAGCCAACCACGATTAACCACCTGTTACTGTCGTGCTTATCGCTCGCCACTGCGCGCGCACCCAGGGAAATTCCGATCCAATATGACTTTGCCGGTATGGAAAAAAAAAACTTGTTTTTTTATTTTATTTCTTCGCGTTATTTTATTCCCGACGGTGAATTATTTCATTCAGTTAACCTAAAAAAAACACGTTCTGTCGGTGGGACCTGTGCGCACTTAAAAAGATGCGCAGTTAATTAAGTGCGCAGAAACTAAAAATTGAATTCTGCGCATGGCGGGAATTTTTGAATTTCAAAATAAATTTTAGTTTTTATTTAATTTTTTAGCGGTAAAAAAATTTTTATTTGAAAATTTATTATTATTATTTTTTTTTATTAGAAAATTTAAACAAGGAAAATAATTTTTATCTCTTACGTTTTTTTATTGTCGGATAAGATTAGTTTTTTATTAGAACTGATTTCAAATATTTATTTGCGTTAGATAATTTTTTATTTTATTTGTTCGGTTGTAAATATTTATTTATTTAGGACGGTAATGTTTCTTTTAATGAAAATTTTTGACGTCGGTAAAAATATTTAGTAAATATGGTTTTTTTTTAATTTTGTAAAAATTTTTCGAAAGTAATTAAGGCCTATATAATGGAGGTGTAATTTTTAAGTGATTTGTACAGTGAAGTATAGTTTGTTTTTAAAGAAGAACGCATTATGCTCGATAGAACTTAATGTATTTTTAAAAAGTTTTTTTGAGGAGTCTTTATCGACACTTCAGGGCTATTACTGAAATTACTAATAGATAATAATTAACTCGATGTGATTTCCAGCGTCATTAACGCACGTACTTAAACTAGACCAGATAAGATAGTTGTTTTTTCTTTTTTTTTTGTTAAACTGTTGAAACTTTTTGGGAGTTTGATTTAATGACAATTTTTTTTTGTAATAAAAGTATAAATAAACAACAAATGTCTATTTTAAATTTTTACAATAGATGTTTATTTTATTTAGCAAAAATGATGAGAGAATTTTTATTTGAATAAAACTTATTGATTTTATAAGTTAAAAATTAAATAAAAGTAAAATTTTTAAGCAAATTGGATTTTTTTGGCTAAAAAATGTGAATTTAATGATTTTGAGAATATTTCTGCTGGAGATGAATATTAAATTTATAAAAAATTTAAAGAAATATCACGGTTTGATATCGTAAGAATTGTTATTTCCATCGATTACAATAACTTAGTTAATGGTCAAATATAATCTTGTCTGCGTCATAAACGATCTTAATTGCTTAAAGTGAGGTTTTTTTCATGAATAGAAACAAAAAATTATCTATTTGAATATGACTAAAAAATGAATTAATCATAGATAAAAATAAACAATAATATTTCGGCTGTCAACAGTTCTCTTTCGAAACACATTATCTATTAGATTTTTGACTTATTTTTTTGTTTTGATGCATTTTTATTGCTCTAAATAAACAATCTCATTCATTAGATTGTTTACTAATGGTTTTTTTTTATCAAAATCTTTTTTACTGAGTATATCTTCTATGTATGAATATATATATTTTTTTTAATTTATTAAAGTGTACTTTTTTAACTTGCCGCTGAAAAAATTGAAAATTTTTAAAAGTTGGAAAGTTATTAATTTTACCCCGTTTTTCAAAAATCGAGTTTTCAACGGATGTTGACGTTTTGAGGTCCTAACTTGGATTTCCTGTGATTTTGAACCGATTCGGACCGGTAGATTTTGAGAATTTTTAAAAAAATTACGAAAAAAAATTTTTTCAAATGTAGTTTTTTTGGAATAACTTTAAACCCTTTACCGATAAATTTCAAAAACTAATCAGCTCTTAAACTCAAAAAACTACGTCGATCTCGCCAGCCCCGTCAAAATCGGTCGATTCGTTCATGAATTACCGTTGTCGAAAAGAAAACCGAAAACAGTGTTTTTTCAGAATTACCGAGGCTTAAAAAACTGCGTCAAAAAATAGTATTTTATTAAACTTCATCAGATTTTTTAGTTTGAAGAGCTCAAAATGACACGAAAATTATTTTTTTGAGCTCAGAGAGCTCAAAAACATAATAAGTGCAATTTTGAGCGCTTAAGTTGCATCAGGTATGGCCTTTAGGGTCAATTGTTTTCCTAATTTTTATAACTGGTAAATTTAAAATTAGCCTAAGAAATTTTAGTAAACATTGGTTACATAAATAATTAAAGGATATAGAACAGAATCAATAATTCGGTTATGTTAAAAAAATAAAATTTTAATTATCATCAATAATCTACAAAATTACTTCCCTGATCAAAAAGTCTAATTTAAAAGCATCTGATTTGTCCTTATTAAAAAAAAAAAGATTTAAAACGATTCAAGCCATGCAAAATGTATATCTCTATATAATTGTCAAGTTGAATCTTTTTTAATCGCTTTGAGCAATTTCGAATCTTTTCAAATCTATTTTTCTAATCAGGGTAATTATTTTTATGATTTTTGATTTTAAACTTTTTTTGTTTACTATTATATAAGATTATATTTGAGTTAAATTCATAATTAATTTTGTAGCGAATTATGTAAAAATAAAAAAGAAAGAAATAATAATAATTTATTGTTTAGCGTACATTAATATTTTTTTTTAAAACTTAAAATTCTTCCTTTACAAATTCTTTTAATAATCTTTTAAAAACAAACATTCTATCCTCTTTTTTCAGTTCGTCTCCGAGCTGATGATGACAATATCGAAAACCTTTATATGTTAGACAATTTTCAGCCGCATGTGTTCTTGTATGTGAAATGTCAATTGAAAGCTCATTTCTAGTGTTGTAATTATATTTGTCATTGCTTCTTCTGATATGATATGATTAAATAAGTATTTAGGTTCTTCGTTTATAAGGATCTTATAAATGAGCATACAACAATTATAAATCATCCTTTGTTTTATAGTCATCCATCCTAATGTCTCTAACATCTTATTTATTCTAAAATACTTATTAACACACAGAATTAGCCTCAATGGCTCGATTTTGGACTTTTTGCATTTTATCAATTACAATGATAATAAAAATAATAATAATAATAGTAACAATAATTTCTTCACAATCAACCAACGATATTACCTATTTCTTCTTTACCATTTCTAGATGTCATCAAAACCACTGATTCATATCCACGTGTCGTCGAAAAAAAAAAAATCCTTGATTGTCAAACCATCTGTTTATGTCAGTCCACCTAAACATCTTAGCCTATCTCCATTCTCCCCAACAAAAAGTGTCTAAAACCCGTAAAAATGTCAAGTGTTGAAGAGTTAACCGAAAAAATCCGCCAACTAGAACTAGAACTTTCTCAAGAGCGTAATAAAAATGTGTCGCGTAAAAAAATCGAAGTATTATCCTCGGAAGTAGTTGACACGAATCCCTACAGCCGTTTGATGGCCCTGAAGCGTATGGGAATAGTCGACAACTACGAGAAAATCCGTACCCTGACCGTAGCAGTAGTCGGAGTCGGCGGAGTGGGAAGTGTCACCGCAGAAATGTTGACCCGCTGCGGAATTGGCAAACTCGTTCTCTTTGACTACGACAAAGTTGAGCTGGCAAACATGAACCGACTGTTTTTCCAGCCGCACCAGGTCGGACTGAGCAAGGTTAACGCAGCAGCTAGAACATTGACGACCATCAACCCAGATGTCTTCGTGGAAACTAATGATTACAACATCACAACTGTCGACCACTTTGAGAACTTCATGAAAGCTATCAGCACCGGGAGCTTGACCAACGGACCAGTGGACCTGGTGCTCAGCTGCGTGGACAATTTCGAAGCGAGAATGGCGATCAACACCGCCTGCAATGAGCTGAACCTCAAGTGGTTCGAGAGCGGAGTTTCCGAGAACGCGGTCTCAGGCCACATCCAGTTCATCGTCCCCGGGGAGTCCGCGTGCTTCGCCTGCGCTCCTCCTCTGGTAGTCGCTTCCAAGATCGACGAGAAGACTCTCAAGCGAGAAGGAGTCTGCGCTGCTTCCTTGCCCACCACCATGGGCATCGTAGCAGGATTTCTCACTCAGAATGCGCTTAAGTTCCTGCTGAACTTCGGCAGCACTTCGTTCTACCTCGGCTACAACGCGATGGAGGATTTCTTCCCGTCGATGGTCCTTCGGCCCAATCCGAACTGCGATGACCGGTACTGCAGGCAGAGACAGCAGGAGTTCCAGGCGCTGCCCAAAGAAGAAATCGCGGTTGAAGCTGTTGAAGAAGCTCCGGTTCATGAAGATAATGATTGGGGAATTTCGCTGATTGATGAAACTGCTGATGTTGCTGAAGAAGATAATGTTCGGGGACTTTGTCCAGGTCTCAGGCAGGCGTATGTTGTCCCGGATGCTCATGCTCATGAGAATGTTGTTGATGCAAGTGCGCTTAGTCTTGAAGAGCTCATGGCTACCATGAAGACTATTTAAGGTTTTGTTTTGGTTGATCTTGAGAAGAAATCAACAGACTTTTGATAGTTTTTTGGAAAAAAATCAAGCGTCTGTTGAGATTAAGAAAAAAAATTACTATTTTAAGTCAGATATATTGTTTAGCTTTATATGAAGATGTAATGAAAAATTTTTATTAAATTTTATATTTAATTATTTAAATTCACGTGTTTATTTATTTTAGAGTAGTTTTTTATTAATTGAAAGTTTTACAGGTGACTTACGATGATTTAGTATTTTAAAGTAAGTATATTTTTATATTAAAATAGATTTTTTATTTATTCATATTAATGAAATTTATTTTTCAGGGTTCAAAGCTGAAATTTTGAAGAACTTTTACTGTAATTGGTTCATAAAAATGGATTAGAAAATGCAACTGGTGATTTTTTAATTTTCAAGAATTAAATTTATCAAAGATAAAAAAACAATATGAATAATTTTATGATTTAATAAATATTTTTTTAAGGTAATTTTATTTGATTAAATAGAAATTTTTGAACTAAGATTTTTTTTTTTTTACTTAAGTGTATTTTTTTTAATAGTGGAAAATTATAAAAATTTCTTTTTGTAAACTAAATACGATATTTGTTGTGCATTCAGAATTCTTAAAATTATTATTGTTTAGTATTTTGTGAGGATTAATATTTTAAATGTAACTTATTTTTTTTATTAGAATTTTATCAGTGAAATTGATATTCTACAAAAGTTTATATTTCTATAATTTTTTTTGCAATAGTAAAAATATAAAAAATATTTTTAATTATATGTAAGTATAACTATTAAATTTTATGAATTGTAAAAATTTTAATAATAATGTAATCAACAAATATTTACAAATCTTGTGATTTTTTTTATCAATTTAATTAGAACTAAAGCAATATTTTTAAAAAATTGCACTTTTTTCAAATTTTTTACATGTGGGATTTTTTTTTAATTCTATAAAATAAATTTTTCGGAATGAAAAATCATAAAAATTTTTAAATGTTAATTAATTTCATTTTCTTGAAGTTTTTCATACTGCTTTGTTGAATTTAAGTTAAAACTTGTTAATTTTTAATTTCTTGTTAAATATAATCTTCCAAAAAGTCGAAATTTTTTTTTTTTTGAAACTTGGAACGAAAAAAAATATTTAAAAAAAAAACAGCTTAGTAAACTGACCCTTATTATTTTTTTATAATACTAAAATAAACATGAATTCAACAATGATTAGACATTTTTTTATAAATAAATAATTATAACAAAAAAGTACTAAGTAAGAAATTTAAAAATTTTTTTTTCCGTTAATTTATTTTTTTAAAAATCATCAAATTGTCTCATTTTTCCCTCTCTTTGAATTTCAAAAATTTGGCGCGTAAATATCAACGCGCATGCGCTGAAGAATTTTTAAAATTCAAAATGGCGATGCGAGGTTAACATGGTATGCATCGTTTGTTTACGTTTTGCCGGTGTGTTAAATACGTCTATTTATTTATATGAACAGTTAATTAAATAATACAAATAATAATTAATGAGTAACAATAATAAAAAATTAATTGCTTGAGGCAAAAGTTAATAAGTTTACTACTCTATAGTGGTAAGTAAAAACCAACATATAGGTTAATATTTATGACATTAACTAACCTATGACAATTTTTATGATTTTTAATTTCATTAATTATTAAAAAAAGTTTCAAAATTAGAAATTTAAATTTCTTAAAATTTTTTGATACTAAAATCAGCTGACGTTTGACCAGTTTGGGTTTTATTGTTAAAATAGTACTAGAAAAGTATTTTCTAAAATTTCCACTTATCATCTTTTAAAATTTCTGTTTTGATTTATTTTCTATATCAATTAAAATTAATTTAGTAGATATTTATAATTTTTTAACAAATAAACTTTTGCTAAAAAATTTGAGATGTGGAAATTTAAAAAAATTGTTAATGCAATTTTTAAAAAATAATTTTTCGCAACAAATTTGTTTGTTAAATAAAATTAAAAAATTGTCAAGTGATTGGTAACTTTAATGTCATTTTAAATTACAATAAAATATTTATTTAAAAGTCCTAAAAATTGCCAGATATAATTATAAATATATATTTTATCATAAAATTAAATGATACCTAAATTATTAAACACTTGAAAATTTTATGAAAGTTAATGTAGCACATATTTAATTATAGCCAAAATAAATAAGAAAAAAAATTGACATTTAGAAATTAAAAAAAATAAAAAATGCAATTTTTTAAAAATAATTTTTTGGAAAAAATCTTTTTGTTAAATAAAGTTAAAAAATTGTCAAGTGATAGCTAACTTTAATAAATTGAAGTTATCTCGCCTTATTGGTCAAATGACTGGTGAATTTTTAATTAAAGCTAACGTTAATGTCATGAAAATTTTTTGATTTTTCTTTAAAAATAAACGAAGTCTAAAAAATTGTTTTTAAAAAATTGCATTTATAATTTTTTAAAAATTGAGTTTTTTAAATAATTTGCTTATACCATGATTTATTTGTTAAAAAAACTATAAAAATTCTCTGATGTTAATTTGAGTATCATAAAAATTTAACAGACATTTGACAATTTTTAGAAATTTTTTTTATTGAAAAATTTATTACAAAAAAATGAAAATTAATTTAACAGATATTTTATAATTTTAAGAATTTTTTTTAACAAATAAATTATGTCAAAAAAAAAAAATGAGAAAAAATAATTAAAATTTAGAAAATAAAAAATGCAATTTTTCAGAGCAAATTTATTTATTAAATAAAATTAAAAAATGCTCAAGCGAATGCTAACTTTAATGTCATGACAATAAAAAATAAAAAAATCCCACATTTAGAAAATTTAAAAAATAACTGCAATTTTTTAAAAATATTTTTTGTTCTATTTAAATTAATAAAAATAATTGTTAAAAGCCTGCCAATTTAAATTTCAAAAAATCTAACTAATCTCTCAATATCTTCCAGCAAATAAATAAAAATGACAATGTCCGACGACGAAGACCTGGTATACGTCCGTAAATCCAAGACAGTCCACTATGGATCCCTGGAAGACAGCGAGCGCGCGCGCCTGGCAGCAGAAGCATCGGACGACACAAAAGACCCCCCAGAGCCCGGTTCAACAGTCCCATCATCCGCGTCAGCTCTCCAAGGAAATGTCCACGTGTCGAACGAGTACCTAGAGCTAGAAGATGAAATGTCAAAGGACAAGCAGGCCTTGCTCGAAGAATTCGAGCGTCGAAAAAAAGCAAGACAGATAAACGTATCAACAGACGACTCCGAGGTACGTAGAACCCTTCGAGTCCTAGGTGAGCCGATCTGTCTCTTCGGCGAGGGTCCAGCGGACCGTCGCGCTCGACTACGAGAGTTGCTAGCCAGCCGCGGGGAAGATGTTATAAAAAAGAAGCACGACGACGATGACAAACCCGTCCGTCCCCTAGAACGTGAGATGGAGACCACCTGGTACCATGAAGGTCCAGAGTCTTTACAGATAGCTCGCGCGTGGATCGCTGAGTACTCTTTAAGGCGAGCGGGAGCGAGATTGCAGCGTGCGAGGGAAGATTTGGCGCTTCCAGGTGCCACCAGAACCGCGCACCAGCAGGAACTCCTCAGGAAGCTCCAGAGTTTGTCAACCTACTGCTCCCAAGTTGGAGACACGCGTCCCATATCTTCCTGCCAGTTCAGTCCGGACTCTAAAATTCTTGCCACGTCTTCCTGGTCTGGAACCTGCAAGCTCTGGTCAGTTCCCGACTGCGGGCTCCTGAGGACGCTCAATGGACACACCAGGTTGGCTGGGTGCATAGTTTTCCATCCCAAGGCTACCATCTCCGAGGAAGTCGTCGGCCCGACTGCTGGCTCGACCTGCGTCCTGGCCAGCTGCGACGCCGACGGCAAGGTCAACCTCTGGGCAGGTGGTTCGGGGGACAAGCCTCTAGCTGACCTGGAGGGCCACGACAAACGCGTCTCCAGGATTGCGTTTCATCCCTCCGGAAGATTCCTGGGCACTTGCTGCCACGACGCTTCCTGGAGGCTCTGGGACCTGGAGCAGCAGGAGGAAGTTCTTCACCAGGAAGGTCACGCGAAAGCTGTCCACTGCATCAGCTTTCAGGTCGACGGGAGTGTTGCTGCTACTGGAGGCCATGACGCGTTTGGCCGTGTCTGGGATTTGAGGACCGGAAGGTGTATCATGTTCATGGACGGACACTCCAAGAGCATCTTCGGGATTGATTTTTCTCCAAACGGGTTTCAAATTGTCACTGCCAGTGATGATAATACTTGCAAAATTTGGGACTTGAGGAAACGGACTTGCTTGTACTCGATTCCCGCTCACACTAATCTCCTTTCCGATGTTAAGTTTCAGAAGGGCGATGGACACTATTTAGTGACTGCTTCTTATGATAACACTGCCAAGATCTGGTCGAATAAAACTTGGCAGCCGCTTAAGACTCTTCAAGGGCATGATGGTAAAGTTATGGCGGTTGATGTCTCCGCGGATCAGAAGTATATTGCTACTAGCTCTTATGATAGAACGTTTAAACTCTGGGCTCCTGAGAATTTGTAAAGTATGAATCTTGTTGGTTTGTTTAATAAATTTAAATAAAAATATGTATTTACAATTTTATTTTAATTTGAGGTTAATTTATGGGGAGAGGTTGGTGGATGTAAGTCAGCGAGCCGCTTTCGGTGAAGTCTTGGACTGTATGTCCGGTTCCTTGGAGGATCCATTTTGTTGTTAGAAGACCGTCGACACCTACTGGTCCTCGCGCGTGGATTCGAGAGGTTGATATTCCCACCTAGAAAAAACAAATTTATTTTAGTTTAGTTTTTTTATTGATTTACATTTTGATTATTTTTTGTTGATGTAGTTTTTGATCCTGATGTTTGAATGTTGGTGAATGTTTAAAGAAGAATTTTGTTGATTTTAATGAAGAAAAAAATAATATTGTTTTTTAGTACGCGTAAGGGTAAGTTATTTTTTTTTATTTTATTGTTAAATTGAGGGAAAATTTTGGTCAATAGAAATAAAAAAAAAAGGTTTTATTAATTTTACCATGGTGAAATAGTACATTAAGCTACGAGTATCTTACACTATTTTGTAGCACCAGTGTCCTAAATTCGTCTTCAGTTTTATTCAAATTTAAATATAAAAATTAATTAAGGAAAAATTTTTTATTACAAATGCGGCGATATATGTGGGCTCAAAATCGGGGTCCCAAAAAACAAATAAAAAGTTAAAAAAAAGAAACAAATATATATCAAATAATAAATCCAAAGTGATTAGTATGAATTAACAAAAAATTAATTCACACATTGAAACAATCAATATATAAAATTAAATAATATTAAATTTAGCTGTCACTTTATAATTTTTTAATTTTCTTTAACAAACAAATTTATTCCAAAAAATTATTCATAACAAAATGCATGAAAGCTATATTCTTCCTCTTTTTTTATCTCGTCAGGAACAAAATCATTATAATCATCGTCTAAATCATTATCGCTGTCCATATTTATTACGGAGTAAGATTTTTGTTAAATTAATTAACGTTCAGAAAATATTCCTCACCAGAATAATGTTTACGACTGAGCGAAATCGTTAATAAAAAACATTTGAGAATCATTAATTGAGGTTTTAGCATACTTCAGATTGAATCATAACCGACAAAAAGATGTAATTTTAATTATTAATTATTTATTATTTTCTATTTTTTCGCGGCTTTGAATGTTTTTAAATATATTTTTTTATTTTTTTTTGCTGTGAAAGTAAAATTTTTAGAGCAGAAATCTATGGATTGATCGTAAATATAAGCCCGTAGCCTAAAAAATTCCTCTCTACTCGTTTCATAATTGTTTATTTAAGTCAACAGTTGAGCGGGTCCTAAATACGAATTTAGGACACGCAGTGCTATAAAAAATATTTCATTAGCAATCAAAACGTGATTTATTAAAATTTTTTATTTTTAATTATAATTCAAAACATGAACATAATTTTGAGATAAAAGTCCCCATTATTGACACTATAAGAGTGATCATGAATATTTGAATTTTTTTTATCGTGTTTCAAATCAATATCGTCAACTTTTTTTTATAGGATGCCTTAATCATTGTTTTTACTTATATAATTTAATTAATTAACTTTAATAGCAATAAATTTAATAATTATTATATCAACTTAAAACCAACAGGTCGAATGCATGTATTATTGACAGTGTAAAAATCCAAAGGGCCGATTATTGATATACAATTGACCTTATTATTGACAGGTCTTTTATTATAGTTAAATTTATATTAACAATAATCATTTTTACTAACTAATGCAAAACTATCAATAATTTTTATTATTTCAAAATTCGGTTAAAACCTAGCTTTTCTGTATTTTTTACCAGGTTTTTTTTAGCAATTTTTTTTATTCTCAAATATTTTCATTCTTATAAAATCACATGACAGTTTGTAAACATTAATACGTTGATATGTATGATGAGGGGATTAAGTTACCTTACATTATAGCCTAAGTTAATTTTTGTGTCCCCATCATTGAGATCCTCTATTTCAAAATTAATTTTAACTCGATAAAATATAAATAAATGATTACATGGTTATTTAGACTATAACTCATCTAAAATAATTCTAAACAATGCAATTGCATACAAAAAAAGACGCCATTCGGCCACACGTGAAATGGAAGGTAGATTTCATAGAATGAATCATCATCTTGTCTCAATAACTTTCGTTTGATATGGAATGAAATTTATTTTAACATACATAAGTAGGTTGTAATACAAATTGCCTGAAAATGGTTCAATTGAACTTTTAACTTCGATAAAATAACTAATAATTGTCAAAAAGTTAACGTTATATACGTCAAATTAGAAGGAATTTTATAAGCTTCCACACGAATTTATCAAAAATCAGCTATCTTTTTACGATTAAAAGTTATACATAAATGAAGTCGTCAAAAACGTAATTTTTACTATTTTGATCATTTTAAAGAGCTACTATTTCTGAACTAATCGAAGTATTTCGCTGATTTTAAGGCTCATGCAAGCTAATTGTCCTATTAATCTATATACTAAACTTCATAAGGATCTGTTGAGAATTCTCGACAGAATAACATTCATAGGTCGGTTGTACTACACATTGACTGAAAATGGTTCAATAGAACTCTTAACTTTGATAAAATAATTAAAAATGGTCAAAATGTCAATGTTATATACGCCAAATTGAAGGTAATTTCATGACCTTTCACATAAATTTGTCAAAAATTAGCCATCTCTTTTCAATCAAAAGTTATACGTCAATGAAGTCACCAAAAACGTGATTTTCACTATGTTGATAATTTTAAAGAGCTGCTATTTCTAAACTTATTGAAGGATTTCGCTCATTTTCGAACTCATTCAAGGTTATTATCCAAAGAATATGTGTGACAAATTTCATCTAGATCCGTCAAGAATTGTAGACACAATCGCGGCAACATCCCGCGTTATATTACATATATATGTATATGGGTCATTCTCAGTTAAGACCCAAATTCGACGTCCACGGGGAAAAATCATCTTTTTTAAAAAAATTTATTAAAAAAAATGTAATTATCTCTTAAAACTCGTGCTCATGTAAATGGTCACTCAAATTTATTTCTTAATTTTATTTAATTTGGTCACAATTTCCCGGGCTGATTCTGTTTATGTATTAGTAATTTAAAGTGCTTAGAAATCAAATAGATTATTTTAATTATATATTTCAACAAAATAAATTAAATAAATTCTCGTAATCAAGCGAGTAAAATTGCATGATATTTTTTTTTTTTTAAAAAAATTACGTTTAAGTTTGTCCCCCACATTTTGCGTCTCGTTCCCTGGCATGTTTATTTTCCTGTAAAATCGGCATTTATTTACCGACTCGCGGGAATTGAAGACCTTGAACGAACGTCGTTGAGTTTATACTTGGTAGTCAGCGCCACTCGAACTATACTAGGTGCGCAGTCATTTTGTTATTTATTTCATTACTGACACTCTGTGGATACAGTTGAGAACGAGTGAACGGAGTCTCTCCCCTGGTAAATTTTATTTTAAAAATATTTATCTAAAAATTTTAATTCATCTGTATATTTACTTGTTGTTGTGCAGTATAGATTCTAAGTTTTCTTGGTTAATCGCGTACAATAAATACATTTGTCATTACTTCTGTTTTTGTTACTAAAAAGTATCTCCCCTGTTTATATCTCCCCTGTCTTGTAAAGGCTAGGGGAAAGACACGATATCCAGGGGAGATATGAAAACTTTAAACTAGAATTTTTTTTTACTGTTTTTTTATTGTTTAAAGGTTGCATATTGTTATTTAATTTAACGTATAAATATATTAACAATATAGTTCATTGAAAAAACTCGATTATTGCGTTTTTTTTACAGAACATGGCACCCGTAAACGAATTGGCACATAAAAAACTTCTTGAAAAAAAGCGTATTACAGAAAGATTGCGATACCAGAAAATAAAAAATGACCCAGATCTATATGCACAACAAAAAATTAAAGAGCATTCAAAGTATCAACAAAAAAAAGAAAAAGGAATAATTAAAACTGTAGACAAAATGACTCTGCAAGAAAAAAGGCAAGCTCGAAAATTGTGGCGGGAAAAAGCAAAGAGACGACGTCGTTTATTGCGGGAAAAATTAAATGGTTCCTCCGTTCCTGAGAAAAAAAAACCTGATAAACGAATACAAGTAGCACAGCTAAAATCATCTCGTGCGAGGAGAACTAGAAACCTAATAATCAAACCAGCAGCCGATATTACTAAACTTAAATCTCGAGTATAACGCTAAAAAAAACGTCTTAGGGGACATCCATTAATTACGTGAGCTATTTTTCGATCAGTTTAGACTCCTCCCCCCCTTAGGTGAGATTTAGTGAGATTTGTCTGGACTCCCCCCCCTCCCCTTACGTGAGATTGACGCTAAAAATATTTTAAATTAAAATTATTTTTATTATTCGGGAGAATAATAAACCATTCAAGTATACTATAGTTAATTTATTTGAATTAAATAAAATTCAAAGCAAAAAAAACATAAAAACAACACTTTTTTTTAATTTTTACTCAATCCATGGAGACTCATGTACTTTTTTTATACATACATATTATAATTTATATTATAATTATAATGTTGAAGAAATCCACCATTAGCTTTGAGAAGAGCTTGTTTAAATCATCAGCGTAAATGATTTTAATAGACATAAAATTTATTTTAGCGGGCAAAATAAACACTCAAAATAATTTTTTTTTTAATGTCTGTAATATTTTATATTTTTTGAAGCTGAGGTGAGATTTTTGATTATCTCCCCCTCGGCTTAGATGAGATTAATATGCTCACGTAATTAATGGATGTCCCCTGATTATTATTAACTAATAATTAAGGATTGATATTAAAATTATAAAATAACTGAATACAGTTAATACTTGAATGAAAAGTTGTTTTCTTTCATAAAATAACATTAAAATCCTTTCCCTGTTCTCAAAGTATCCTACTCTGTTTATCAAGTCTCTCCCCTGGATTGAGTATCTCCCCTGGTTTCTTATAAAACAAGATAAAATTAATAAATTGACTGACCGCCTTGCAGACACGTTTAGAATGAATGTTTTGATCGATACATTATAAAATTAAATTAAATTTTCAAATTTTTTATCGTGCCGCGTTTTATCAGTAAACGATTTACGTCTTAACTGAGAATGACCTATGTATATATATAAATATA